GGGGGGGGGGGGGGGGGGTTTGTGCTGTCAGAGGGCGAAGGAGAGGGGTGGCCAGGAATGTGTGCGTGCGTACGTGGGATGTGAACGTAAGGGTGCCGTGCCAAGGGTGGTAGTAGTGCGGATCGGTGACGCGGGCGCGGCATCCTGGTGGACGCCAGATCGCTTTGGATCAATGCCGCCCCACGGTTTTCGCTTGTTCTGCTGTCCCGAGCCGAGAGCGAGTCCTGGCCGTAAGGGATGAGGATTTGGAACCCGTCCACCACCGAGCTACTAGCTACCCTTTACTATACTCACTGGCTACGTCTACCGTCTATCCCCACCCTTATCGGCATTTTCTCTTTCTCCCCTATCCGATCCCAGTAGTTTCTCCCTTGCTCTCTTGGTACAAGGCTACCAAACTGACTCGCGCCCTCTTACACCGTCGAGATCAATCACCCTTGTGTTTCCGTATCCGTGCTCACTTTTCTATATATATGTATACGCCATTATCAGACCGTACAGAGAGATACGTAGATAGTGCTACCAAGTGCAATATACAAAGTCCCGGTCAATCCCTACAAAGCCACCCTTACCAATAGCCATAAACGAAAACTACGAAAACGCTTTGCATGCCCGAGCTATTCTCTGGCAACCATCCTTGGACAACGCTCGCTACTCTCACTCTCCTACTGTTGTTATGAGCTTGCTTTACGAGCAGGGGTGGTAATCGCATGTAGGAAAATTGTCAGACCTCCCTAGCGGGATGGAGAAAGACCCCAGCGTCGCTAGCTGAGGCTGAGAATGATTTTAGTGCTATCTGTTTGAAAAATAGCCAACTAAAGAGACAATACCAACAATCTTCAAATATAGTCACGAGTGAGCACAGTTAATCGTATAAACGTGGTTACAGACTCTAGCTACATCTATATCTAAGGACGGTGCTACATTCTGGCACTTTACACAGGCGCTCGAGAGATCCAGTAAATTATAAACTAGTGACGTCGCTTACACGGATCTGTCTACGTGAATTTTCGAAACATAACTTACTTTAATCAGACTAATCAGGAACAGTGCCTGTCTGCGCGTCTAATAAGAGCTGCTCATGCCAATAATCTGATCACTTATTAATAAAGTAGTATACACGAACGCACTATAGCCTCTGTATATGGATATAGTATCATTGTGAGTTTAACGATGAAAATAAAAAAAACCAATACAAGCTGTGCAATGGTATAGTGACCAAAAAATCATTACGTGTTTTTTTTTCAAATTATAAAACTCTGATACTAGCACTGTTCACGGTGGAGAGTTAAACAGTTACTCGTGTACGGCCTCTGTACGGTTAGTTTTATTTTCTCGTTGTCGCCACGTTGTTTGCTCAACTTGAATGATCTAAAAGTACGGGACCAGTCGCAAAGGTCATATGACGTTAGGTTACTTCTGGGTCGCCGTCGTGTTTGGGTGACAGAGTGGAAGAAAAAGGGACAGCTTGAAAAACCTTTTTTCCCCCCATAATATGATTACCCACGTGAGGTGAAGTTGTACCCGACTGCAATAACGTCCTGGGACGTTTTAATTGGGTCCTGTTTTTTGCAGGGGATGACATCGATGATGATACGTACAAGGGTGTGATTCGAAACGAGAAGAGAAACTGAATTGTTGGAGGTGTCCAGGAGAGCCAGAGAGCCATCGTCCGCTTGGTAGACAAACTTTTCATGAGAAATCCAGGCTGGTGGTAACCGATGGGGTGTCAGGTCTCCGCGAAGGCACTCTTCCAAGCTCAATCTCCTTCCGCTCCAGTAGAGGAGCTCGTCGACGTAACTAGGAGTTCAGGATCGTTCGTTAGGAACCGATGAGAAATGTAAATTAAAAAAAAAAAATCATTTTTACCTTTCAACTAAACCATTTATCATTTTTCTTATAGATGGATCCAAGTTCAAAGGGGATGAACACTTACCCAAGGAGGTAGATGGCTGTGACAATTCCGGCTATAACAAGTCCAATAACCAGTAGAGAGAAAACTATGCTCCTCCAATTGTGACCACCCTCGGCGTACGTCAAGTCCTGAAATTAGTAACCATACTGGATGAAGACACTTAGTCCATTGTCAAGAAATACATTAAAAGCTTGTCATTTGCAACGAGCATGCAGAGTGTAGACGGAAAACGAAGCACCCTAATATAAAACATCATGAAATCCTCTGAATTCCCTACGTTGTTGATTCACATCTAACATTGAATCTTTTGAACCACAGTTAGTCCAGATAGAACCAGGGTGTTGGAGCATTTGGATATGTCTGAATCAACAAGAGGCAAAATCAGTTGACCTAGGATCCAAGCAGCTTAGCTAAATTGCATTGATGAAGTTCATCCCTTGGTACTAGCTATTAACGCATAATTGTACTAGGACATTATGACCTTTGACCAGCCTAATTAGACTGCCGTGATCTATTTGACGCACAATACAGTAATATCGGGTCTACCCGGAACTGCATCCACGTGCATGGTAACACTGGTACATCAGTGCAGTATTCAAGTCGACCTGGTCACATTCAACCAAGTATGAAACACGCTTGGCTCTTGGTTAATGCTCGTTACCATGAGACTTTGGTGAACGTGTGACCAAACACATGGTTACGTAACTACATGAGCTGGTACACATAGCGAGGGAGTTAGACATCACGACGCCTTCGTACAGTCAGAATTGAAAATACAGGACTACTGGACCAGCCATGGGGCTGTACTCTTGGAATTTTGAGCAATTAAACAAGAACTCTGATGACCTCCTATAAATCTACATCATGACCACTGTCATTTAGACGAGTGGTCCATGTGTCCTACATACGTCGGATCAAATATTAAGGGAGATCAGGTTGCAATTTGGTAATCTAGACATCAGAGGATTACACATTCCCTTTTTTTCAGGCTGAACCATCCAGTGGGGACGATCGTTGCCACTCGAATAGATTGTCTATTGACAAACGATTGACTTCCTCCGTGAGAACTTGGGCAGAGTTGAGCGTCGATTGGCTGACATCAGGCTGTAATCGCTTTTCGACGACTTGTTTATCACGATGAATATTGCCGTGTTATCTGCAACAGGGATGCTGAGGATGTTCAGTAATGGCGACTGTTTGACGTTGATGTCTGCGCCACTGTGCTGAGGTCTCCCGTGTCAGTTGGATACTGTGGGACTTTGGTGGTCTTGATTTTCTGGTATATTGGAGAAGGAAGATCTGCTCTCGCTGTGTTATTCTGCTGGATTAGATCCATCACTTTAAGAATGCATATTCTGACACTTATTCATCTTCTTTGATATCATTGAATTTACTCGTTGAATTTATAGAGGGTTGTGGTATGGAACTGTCCAGAGTAGGGAGGAAGACCAGGGAGGTTTTTTGAAAGTCCATAGACAAGTATGACAGATATCTGCAAGCTGACAGGGTATCACTGTTATTACTATTGGACTTAATAACTTCATACTAAAACCGGACTAGTAATTCCAAGCGTCTTTGAGAATATCTGTAAGGGTGTTGTAATTTTTTTCAGAAATTTTCTGGGATATCGATACACGCCGTTGCAGTGCAAATAGGACAATGCTGAAGTAATGGTCACTGTACCGTAAAGAAAGAAGAAATAAAGAAAACCCGAAGAAGAATAATAAAAAAGGAGCGTGTCACGATCCTTGCAGAATCTTGCCAATAGTTGTTGAACGTTCAAAGTCAAAGGGGTTGAAGATATCTGGAACAATGTAAAGCGTACGTCCAGCTATTTTCAGCAGGGAACAGAAGGAGAAACATCAGCGATAGATGGTTTGGAATTCAACCCCGTTGGCGATAATCGAATTATTTCACGCTGTTCGCGAGTTTCCATTCGCGAATCTCACGCCAAAACCATTTGGGGTGGCTGCCACCTTCGTAGCTCGAGGTTGGCATATATATATATATATATATATAAACGAATAGGTAGTTTCGTCGCTCGCGACGAATTCACCCGCAAATGGTCGCCAGGAAGACTCGACGAAATTCCCTTTGAGAATTCCGATCGCTCGTACCTATTCCGGTGGAAGCCTATACAAGTGCCATGCACGTACCGGATACTGGCTACCCCAATATAACTAGATGGTATTTCTTAAAGCTTAAGGCTGATACTAAAATCCCTGTCAGGAACTAAGGGTTGAAATCCTTTAACGTCCCACTCACAAGTAACGACCTGAAATCATTATGGATACTTTACTGATTGTCAAAAATAAGGTAACGTTATCATACCCTTGATTTTAGTCCAACAGGAGTCACTGGAGCGAGAACAGTAATGAGTACAGGATGAGGATCAATTAGTATAAGGGTGGCGATGGGTAATGGGTGGCTTGGTGGGTGGTGATTGCCCGAAGAATCGACGTCAATTTCCGAGCGATTCAGCGTTCTTGGTTCCGGTGCAAAAGGTCTTCGCCTTGGGACTCCCTTCAATGGGAAGATCGACAGCAGCACTGTGGAAACGTATGAGAGGGTGTGAAGAGAAAGGTGGGAGGTCAAAGAAGATGAGATTTGTTTCCGATTGAATAAATCAAGAGGCCACCAAAGTGTAAGGGTGCTGTCTGGATAATTAGAGTCCAGGGAGAGAATGAGAGAAACAAAAGTGGTTCTCGTGGTACATAAATGGAGGATGATGCTTTGAACTTGCAGTATGGGGAATTTAAAATTAAGTCATTGAAGTTCCAAGAGGTTAATGGGTATACGTACATCCTAACGAAGCCAGTGCGGATGAATGGAACAATTATTCTCTGTCGATTAAAGTCCTGGAGAAGTTTCAGAGATGAAATCAGGAATATTATGTCGATGATGTCACCCGGGGTATGTATTTCCAGTAATATCCACTCCATTCGACTTTTCATGAAGAAATAATTATCAGTCTTCTACGGGGATAGGAACATCATCTTCCAGAGGCAGTAATCCGGTGCATCTAATTAATATAAAAACTCTTGAGTAAAGAGAGGACGAGCCGAACGTGCTCCGGCACTTGCTAAGTTGATCTAGAGCCATGCCAGGGTAGACTAAGAGTTTTCCTAGAGGTAGATCAACATGGTGCGACTTTTGACTAAAGTCGAAGAGCAGGTAAGTTCCAGGGTGGTTCTGATGCATTGTGAATAAAGAAGGTGGAAGACGGTGTCAAGGAGTAAACTTGGTGATAGATGAACGTACCTACAATATGTTGCTCATAGGTACTCTAGAAGAAGATCACAATGGAGTAATAGGTCCAGGTAATACGAATAGACGACGAATACACTATCCAGGATGATAAAGTGGTCATTTTTAGATGAATACCTGGTGCTTACTCTCTGGAGTTTCCTGATAGCATGCCCTATGCAACACCATAGACACCACGACATATGGAACGACATCGAGAAGATGAAGCCGGCGACCGATTACCTCTTTTACCTGGGCAGACTTCGATCTGGGATCGGCGACCTGGACGGTCTCGTCGGGAGGTAGCCGCCAGGAGTTCCTTTCGACATTGACGCTGGCGTTCATAGCGGCCGCCTCCGCCTTCTAGTCCTACTCCTAGCCACCTCGTCTTGTCCAGCCACTTCCAGGTCCCCAGGGTAACCCCTGGGCCACTCCTGGGGCCGAGATCCAAACCTCCAATCCACAGTGTCTCACCTGAAAGCACATGAGAGATATGACAAAATTATCTTTTCAACTGTTACAAGGTATCTCAAGAAACGACGTATGATGCACAGTGTGCACTTGATTTATGGATTTTTTCTGAAAAAAAAAAACCGGAAGTTCCCGAGCACCGGGATACAGACTTGATGGGAATTAAAGTGGCAGCAAAGTGCATAGTAAAATGAGCGTATGATGGCTCCGCGCTATAATACCCGCCTTTACGAACACAGCACTCCTTTATGAATATATTTTCCTCGTAAATATATACCGGGCGGCTTTCTCGAAAAAGGACATAAAATTATGGCCGCCTATGGTAGCTACTATCCTATCTATAACGTTTATCCCGTGGGAGTCTTCCATCTTTCCTCTATCTTTATTTCTCTATATCATCTCTTTATCACGTGCCCAAGCTTCTCTTCCTGTTATTATTGGCATTGTAGTTTATTCAAAAATTTCTTCCACAGACTGTATGCTTTATAAATTATATTGCCATCGAAGTAAATATATACCGAGTATAGGCTCCAATCGATAATCTCTGCATCTTCATATTGATTTCTATTCAAAATCATAAAATATCATTGCCAATCATAAATGTTTACCTCGATACAAAATCAGTAAGCACGTCACTCTTCTCCTGAATATTTATTCACTTGAATATTCAATCCTATCCATACCAAAGCAAGTAACGATCTTCTTTTCGGGATTATTGCTTCTCTGCTACCCTGTAACTATGGCTGCCGAATCCTGTGGGTTTTTTTATTTGACACAGGCTCACTCTATTCTGCATCCTATTCCTCTGAGATTTTTCGTTTGTTACTTTCTCTTTTCTCTTCTCACTTTCCGCCTTAGGGTCCAGACACTCTTGCCTTGATGTTTCTTTCATTTTTTTTCTACTCCCCCTCTTCCCATCAGCCATCACGGCGTCCTCTTCACCTCTGAACTTCTCAGGATGCGCATACATTTTGCCAATGAATTATACAGACTCACTTATATTGTATAGCAGCACCATAGCTGTCATTGCAAGAAATTCAATTTTTGATCTACATGAATCTTTTTCTTCCTTAATCATAGCTGGTTAATAACTTTCTTCTTGAATCTGTTAATTAGTCGCGTTCGGTCCACCAGATGCCTCTGACACAATTAATTAAAACAGGAACAGGTAAGATTTTTTCAATCAATCTTATTGACACTCAAGGTTTTTAATTGAATCTGCAAAATAAAAGCAATTACGTCATATTTACTTGTATGATAGCATTCTAAACGTTTATAGAAACTCAGTCATAAGTCACTCTGATAAAATGGAAATCACTTATAGAAAAATCAAGAGTATAGAATCAGAGGGTATCACGAATATAAAGTAATGCTAAACTTGAGGGGGTAAAGAATAGTTTTTCTTCGCAGCAGTATCTCCTATTGCCATGAAAGCCGAACCCCCATTATCCAACCATGGAGAAAATGTTTGGTAAGCATTCACGAAAATTCCCAATAATTTTCCACAGGATAGACAAAGAACTGTATAAAAATACGTCACTCAATAGCATTAAAAATAAAAATGTCACAGACCCACCCAATATATCTACCTCAATAAAATACAGGAAAGAAGAGATAAAGATTTAAACAATTCCCCAAAAAATCCTTAGACGATTTTTACCACATCATGGCATACCCTAAAAACGTATACTCTATACATTCTTATTGATCCTAAGACCTTACAAGTTTTTCTCTACTTCAGAAAACTCCATCCAACTATTTCCTATTTTCTTCAGCTTATCCCCAGACATTCTTCTGTTATCCCCGTTGAAGAAGCTATCCCTAACTAAAGGCCATACGATAATTGGATTATTATTACATACACACTATAGCATATGTAAGAGTTCTAAATCCTGATAATTAAGGGGATTGTTCTCAGGACGTCCTCCTTTGTCATAATACAAAATCCTTGTGCCCACCAGGCAACGTCCAGTTACACGTAACAAGATCCCAACGATAAGCAGATCCTATTCGGTTGGTTTCGCTTGTGGTCCGGTCGAGCATGACGCATCCATTGGTTAGAAAGTTAGATAACACCAATCCACGATGTGGTCTTGCTTCGAGGGTGGAGAAGGAGTAAGAGATTGAGGGTTGGGTGTACTGGGACGTTAGCCCCTACGTGTGACGTCAGAAGGGTGTATTACGTCAGCAGTGCGGCAGACTGTATGGGCCGGTTGACGATAGGGTTGGGTAAAGGAGAATTGGTGGGTGGAAAGGAGGACTTAAGGATGAAAACGGTAAACCCGAGGGTTAGTAACAGTTGGTAGGGAAGAAAGAAAGAAAAGAGATGGAGGAAGCAAAGAGAGGTATGGGTTGTGGCCAGATACGGAGGAGGGAAGATAGGTTCGACCACCCCTTGCATAACTACTATGTAGTACGAGAAGGGGCACGATTTCATTCATCAGTCACAGTCAACGAGAACTTCTTGTAACTGGATAAGTACCTGGAGTGTATCGAATGGTGGGGAGTGTCATGGACTTTTGAAGAGGATCCTACATCTTTTGCTAGGACCAACTCCCTAAGGATGACTACTATGACCTACCCCTACGCCACTGACATTGGACTCGGTATCTCGCTGTGTCCTGGTGTTTTCTGCCTTGAGACCGGTAATCGAATACCTCACCCCCTGATGGGCTTCTTCATCCCTTCTAACAATTCTCCACCACTTACTCGCCATCCGGGAGTAAATTGGCTTGTTCAAATTTCGCGCGCTCCACCATCCACGACTGATCGGACTTCCTTTTGTTTTTATTCTTCCTGGACTTTTCGGATGTTACATACGTACACAGTACGTTCGATGAGATCCCTAAATGGCTGATCTATGATCTTTAATTTCTAGTTGCACTTCCTGGAATGTCCTGTTTAAGTTTTCATCCTTGTGTCGCACGGAATGTTTTTCGAGGAATCGGCCCTCGGAGGATCTCTTTGGCAAGGCGAACGGCAGACAGCGCGTCTCTGGGAGGAGACTCGGCGTGTTTCCGACAATCAATAACCACCACGCAGCTCGTATTCTCTCTCTGTCTGTTTCTCTTCTCCGTCTCGCCCCTAGCCGTAGTCCCATTTTATTCCTTGTTTTACGCTCCTCTGATCCAGTCTCTTCTTCTTTTATTTTACTTCCGGTCCTCCGATACTTTCCCTCTCGTTATCATCTCGACGTCACGGATACGATAAAACGTATAAGAAAATTCAAAATCCTCAACGACGTCATCCTCGACTCATTCCTGACCAGCGCATTCTCAGGAATCACTTCCCGACAAAGGAGGGTAGCCTCGCTTCATCCCCTTGGGAGCATACTCTGTAAAACTATCTCAAGCCAACGATATCGTCACGCATATATCTACGGATATACCAGAGACCAAAATTCACGTCTTACCAATAACGTATTTTCCATGCCAGACGTGAGGACGCCCTGTCAAAATCAACGAGAAAAAGCCAAAATCTGCTATAAGAAAAATATCATAAATAATCTCCATCATGACAGTTATATTATTTCCGATTGTAACAGCGTTCGAATATATACCAAAATTCGTATACCTTATATACTATGAAAATTCCAAATAATCCCATTGACGCTATAGAAATTTTCTAGGTTAGCACGTAGTGCACACGTCCATTTTGGACGAAGGAATAGATCGTCCAGTGGGATAGGTCAAGGGAGCTGTAGCAAAAAAAAAGGATAAGTTAAAGGATGTGCCAGCGACGCACATTCAACCAGATATATTAGTCCTGGATTTCAATATATTTCATACGTCCGCCAATGTATCGTACCTACAGAAATACTTTCACATATGTACCAATAGAGAATACGTCAGGTACATTGGTACTGGATATTAATCCCTTTCACTTTATTTCTCTTCTCTACTCCCCTGCAATCACCTAATAACCGTGCCACCCTCATTTCACATTTAAATGTACCCCGCAACTATCCACTTATCCCAATAGCACGTAATGCAACCTTCGCCTCGTAACGTAACAGTTCACCACATCTCGGGGTTTACATTAAAAGCATAATAAAGATGGATTTACTCACGGTATCAGAAACATATCCATATAGGTCATATATATGAGTACATAAATGTATGTACAGTTACGTCTCGTTCAAAGGAAATGCATTTTCTACCTTCTACCTTCAGGATTGCTATGTACCCAGAAAGAAAATATAAGTACTTGTAACTCCTACAGGACTATGTCGAGCTAACCTCCATTTCTTTTTCTCCTTCCCACGTACTTATCCACATGCCTTTAGCTCATGGAATATTATTCTCGAGTAAAACACGTACGTTTATTAAATTTGATGAAATGAAATGTATTTGTACATAACACATGCTTCTTTAGGGTCTATTACCAAAAGTACGAACTGCCCACGGCAATACATAACGCCAACCGTATAATAATAAACTGTCAAGACAATGAAAACAAGCCCATTTATCAATGCGTTCGTAAATCCGACGTGGCTACCAGGAACGACCGGGAGAGGCGTTGCCTTCGGGAACCTTCGGGATCAGTAAAATAAATGTGTGTACAACGTTAATGTTACTTTCGTGTGCACGAAAGGAAAACGTCCGTTAATTTGCATGGCTAGGAATAACAATTAAATAAATAGAGAATTCGGCACGTTTGCCAGTTACGTATTTACCGTGCGGTCGTAATAACCTTACATAGAGTTGAGTGGGAATTACGATGAAGGTGCACAAAATTTTGCCGAGTTCAGCAAACACAATGCATAGGATATACTTGGGTTTGTAATACTCTGTATGATGGAGAAAATTAAAATTTTTTGCGTATTACCATAGCAAACCTTTCCTGGTGTTCTTTAACGCAGGGATAATCGTGTCACTATTTTTCTGAAGTAAAAATGCGTCGCTCGCTATGGGTATTAGTTTTTGTCTTGTTTCTCCTTTTTTTGAGGTCTGCATCCACTATAGACTTTTACATAGAATAAATCTTCCGTTTCGTTCTATCCG